TCTCTTTGGGTAATCCGAATAGTGTTCTTGTCCCATTTTCATAAGGCCCAGGTCTCTGAGGCATATGTTAGTGCAGGAAGAATGGTGTAGTAGAAAAGATGTGCCCGGAGTCAGAGGTTCTTCATCCTCTTAACAACTTCTCTGACGCTCTTGAAGGTGTTCCACGCTGCTCTCTTCCTCCTGTGCCGTTTTGGTGCCAAGTCATTGGTTATGTTCTCGACCCAGGTACACATAACTGATACATTCAGTTTGTTCCATTGAGAGCAAGTGGAACATCAGGAACTAGTTCATTTTTCATGAACATTGTCTTGGTGAGATTCAGTTACAGTCCTACCTTTCCACACTCATGGTCAAAGTTGACCAGCATTTATGCCACTTGGCTAATGTTTGGTGTTATTAGAACTATGTCATGTCATCAGCGATGCCGAGGTGGTGTATTTGCCCACTGTCTATCTTCACTCCAATTTCTTCCCATTCCAGTCATCACATGACATTCTCGAGGTTGGCACTGAAGAGTTTCGGTGAAATGGCATCACCCTGCCGGACCTCTCTCTTTACATCGATGATCACTTCCTTGTAGAATGGTGAGATCCTGGTGGTAAATCCGTAATACCGCTCTTGAAGGATCCTTATGTACTGAGTTTGAACACCCTGTTTGGCTAGGGCTTTGATGACTGCTTCAGTCTCAACGGAATCAAAGGCCTTGTTTATATCAATGAACATTAGACAGAGCGGCATCTTGAAGTCTTATGAAACCTCAATGAGCTTGGTTACCATGTGGATATGGTCGATCATGCTGAATCCTTTTCAGAACCCGGCTTGCTCACATGGTTGTCCTTCGTCTAGTGTTCTGCCTATTCTATTCAGGATGACTTGAGTGAACAACTTGTAGACGACGGATAACAGGCAGATCAGGCAGTAATTGCTGATGTCGTGGATGTCTCCCTTCTTGTTCAGTAGTACAGTCCTGCTGTACTGGGTGCTATTTGTTTCTTTACCGACAAAATGGCATGTCGGATTTCGGAAGGGAGAACGTTGGGAATGACATATCCATCCTGCGGAATTTGGTATGTGGGCAGGTGGACGTGGCTATCCAAGTAGAAGTCATGGATCATCTTCTCCATTGCCCTTGTGGAAGATGTGATAGATCCATAAGGTCGTTGGAGGGCAGTCATCTTGGTCTTATAGTTGGTGAAGGACAGGCAGGTGTTATGAATACTTTTCCCGGCTTCTGCCACATCGGCCAAAACTGCTGCTCTTCTCTCTTTGAGGTTTTCCTTTATTGTTTCTCTGCACAACTTTGCGAGCTCGAACGTTAGCTGCCTGAAACTTGTGCCAAACCACGTTGGTGAATGAGCTTAAGAGTTTCCGAAGACAGGCATCTGTTTGTGGCTTTCCCACTCTCAGCATTCCTCATGCAGTCATGGAGGTACTGAACCAGTCAATCATATTCCTTGTCAATGTTGTCAACAATGGCATCTTTCCTTGTTGCCGTAATAGTGCCAGAGCTCCCAGTTGGTGGTCGTTCTGGGAGTTCTTTTCTTAAACTGTGCAGCCATTTCTCCCCATCTGTGGAGTAGAATTTTGCATGGTCTGATCTCGTTTGGAATTTTGGAACAACAACAATACCAATCAAGCAAAACCATCGATTGAAGATAATGTGGTCAATTTCGTTGTGGAACTGTCCACCGGGAGACTCCCATGTCCAATGTTTAAATTCGGTCTACTGGAACTGTGAGTTACCTTGGATGGTCTTAGTCAACACAATGAACTCAGACAGTCTCTCACCCTGTTTGATCCATTCTAGGCCATTGGTCCCGATGTGGAGTTCTTCTGCTGATCCTCTCGGTCCTATCTTGGCATTAAAATCACCAACATTGATCTTGTAGAAGGTGTGGTCTTCTTTATAGAACTTCTCTAGCTCTATGTAGAATCTCGCAGTTTCTTCTCCATCATAGTTGGATGTTGGTGTGTAGACGACGAAGATAGAAACTGCCAGCTGAGCCTGGCACGCTATCCTTGGTGTATTCGATATGCCAAAAACAGTAAAATTAATGGGTTTCCCCTGACCCTGAAAGAGCCCCCAATATGGCAGCATTAAAAAGGATGAGCAAGGAGAGGCTGATAAAATCGCAGGGCCGAACTAGGCTGCCCAAACAAAGAAGGACTAAAATGACTGTCTGTATTTTCAATGCACGTACACTGGATCAGAAGCATCCATCGAGAACCTTATGGTGCAAGTGCAGAAGATCAAGTACAATATCATTGGTCTGACTGAGATGAGAAGGCACTGATCACATCACACCATTTTTGACACTGGAGAAGAACTGTTTCTCAGAACATGCAACAATAGAGGCGTCATGGTGTTGGTGTCCTTGTCAACACGAACTTGGCCATGAGAATTGATTCATTTGAATGCCTAAGAACCCGAATTGGATGCTTATGCTTGAAGATATGTGGCTCACTGACGGCAGTTTCTATCTTTGTTAGTGTTTATATTTTTATTAAAACATGGCCTGGAGGGATGACAGCGTGTAGGGCATTTGCCTTGCACGTGGCTCATCCAGGTTCAATCCCTGGCATCCATATGATCCCCCAGGCACTGCCAGAAGTGATTCCTGAGTGCAGAGCCAGGAGTAACCCCTGATCATCACTGGGTGTGACCCAAAAAGCCAGAAAGACTGACCCCCCCAAGAAAGCTTTATAGACACTTATATGTAAAATGAGAATCAAAAAAATTACATTTCTCTTCACTTTAGTGTAGATATTTGGGAATTAGCTATGAAAGCATGAGCTTCTCATTTTTATTTTTTCAGTCAGTCATAAACAAAGTAGGTTGAGTATAGCACAGCGGTAGGTCGTTTGCCTTGCACGCAGCCAACATGGCTGACCCAAGTTCAATTCCTCTGTCCCTCTTGGAGAGCCCGGCAAGCTACCGAGAGTATCTCGCCCGCACGGCAGAGCCTGGCAAGCTCCCCGTGACGTATTTGATATGCCAAACACAGTAACAACAAAGTCTCCAATGGACATGTTACTGGGCCCGCTCGAGCAAATTGATGAACAACGGGAGGGCCTTTACTTTTTAAATTTGCGTAGATCAGTGATTTTCCCTAATATATATGCTTAGAAAATAATCTAACCTGTTCCAAATATCCAGGCAAAGGTAGACTAGTAAGTGATATTGGTTCTTTTAAAGGGGGAAGTTTGTTAGGAAGCATCTGATCCCAGTATTCTCTGGCAGCCTAAGAACACAAAATTCATTAGGTGGAAGCTCACAACACAAATAATAAACACAGAGGAACTGTGTGGTTAGAAGAATAAGAAATGATTAAAACGTGGTAACAATGTAGTATATTCAGATACTGAGATATAAAGAAGTAAATCTGAAATTTAAAGAGACATTAAACCAATGAAGAAACAAACCAACGTGCATACACACTAACTCCTCCATTTGAGAAGAAAATGATCATTAGCAAAAGGGGCAGCGATGAAATTGGGAAAACTGGGTACAAAGGGCCAATTGGTGGACAAACATAGACTTTTGGTGGAGGTGAAATTTTTGTGTGTTGAACTATTATTATAGATGTCAAATTATAACTGTTACTGTACTCCTGAAATCTATATAATGTCATAGACCCATGTCAAAACTAGAAATTTATTCTCACCAGTTCTGCAGTGGATTACATCTTCCCTTTGTCCCCTCCCACCTCCTCCCACACACACAAGTATCGGTTTTTTAATTTGCTTTTGGGTGACACCCAGAAGGCTTCAGGGACTGCTCCATGCTTTGTGCTCAGGGGTTGTATCCATAGAGGTGCTAGGGGAACATATGCTGCCAGGATCCAACCCAAGTCTCGTGCACGTTCATTTGGCTTTTCTCTTTTTATTGGATTATTCCCAAATCTACATGTAAAAAGTATCATAGCTGTATTAAGGATTCAACATGCTTCATTAAAAGAAAAAAATCAACTTCACTCCTTAATTCCTATTTTTCAGTTCTCTCTTTCTCTCTCTCTCTGGTTTTAGGACCACACCCAGCAATGCTCATGGTTTACTCCTGGCTCTGAACTCAGAAATTACTCCTTAGGGGGACATGGGAGACCATATGACAATCTGAGGATCAAACTTGATCAATGAGTGCAAGGCAAGAGCCCTACCCTCTTTCCTATCACTCTGATCCATTCTTCTCTTAATCATACTTTTTCATGCAGTGAATTTTACTAATGATCACCAACTACAGCACACTTTCTATCTGCAGATGTGACTCAATCCACAAACTATTGTAACTAATGAATCATTTGCAGATATTTAAAACAAAAAAAAATTTAAAGAGAGAGTTGGTTTCCAACTTCTTCTGAAAACCAGAACAGCCTGGAAGTAGGTGAGTTGCTGCTGCCCTCTTCAGTAGGGCATAGGCAGTGGGATTGGCATTCCTTCCCATTGCTTCCTATCCTTTCATTGCCAATGCACTTGACTCTTGGGCTTCATTGTCTCTGTTGGCAGTTGTTGCAACCTCTAGATTGCCAACAAGATCTTAATCTTGTCTCAAACCTACTCTCCAGCACTCTGCAGAAGGCTTTTAACTCACCCCACTCTACCAAAACCGTTCTTGCCAAGATCACCAATGACCTGTTCTAACCAAAATCTGACATGTTCAGCACATCTTTGTGTTGCTTGACTTCCAAGCTCATTTTAATCCATTGGCTGGACTTTTCAAGATAAGGTTTCTGTCTCCTCTTCCTTTGCCCTCTCTTGAGGCTTCTTTCATTTCGTTCATGCTTATTTGGACACTTGGGACAGCCCTGCCTTTTCCTTGTGGAGATGGTGATTTGGGTCAGGGTCAGCGACGGTAACTGGCCCCTTCACAAGTCTCCTACCCTCCCCACACATGCCAACCTCCCACCCACAGAAAGCTCACGTAGCATTCACGGAGGAACCATTTTATTGTCCATCAGTGACACCCTCTTGGTATATCAAATAGCAAGGGCTGTCCTGGGGGCCTCCTGTCCTCTGCTAGCTGTGGCCCAGTTCGCTGAGCCTGCGTTCCTCCAGGAAGCGGATGAGGCTGTCTCTCTCATTCACTACTCTGATCTTTTCCTCGAGGACCTGTGCCTCTTTTTGCCGATCAGCATCAGTCTTCAGGGACTCTGAAAGGAGGAGACAAAGGTTTGACAACTGAGCCAGGTGTCAGGAAGGCCACGTGCTAACACCCAGCCTGTGTGACTCCCTCCACCTAGACTTGTTTCCTAGTCTGTGGAAGGAGGCTGGCTGATGCCATGCAGAAGGGTTGCCAGCACCGCTGAGGAGCAGGCCCACTTGGGAAGGAGACCCTGAGTCCACTGTGTGGCGCAGATGGAACAGACAGTAGTTGGGGTCCAGAGTCTGGTGCCCTAGGAGCCACCACATGGACTCAAACCCTGCTGCAAGGATCAGTGTCTGGGGGCTCAGAGCCTGGGCCCTAACAGCCTCTCACCGCAGGACACTGACCTTCCTGGTTCAAATAGCCAAGGAGCTCCTGGTCCAGGTACCATTGTTTCTCCTCCAGTTTCAGCTCAGTCATTCTGCAAAGAACAGGAAAGATAAATCCTGAGTCTGCAGGGAGGGTCTCTGGGACCTGGCTGGGGCCTAGAGCTGCCCCCCACTCTGCTTACGTGAGCATGAGCTCGGCCTCTTCGTTCAGCAGGCTGTTCTTCCTCTGAACAAGCTGTAACAGCAGCTCTGTCCATAATGTCTTTTGCTTTTCAGGGGAACCTGGTGGAAGAATTGGGGACAGGGTGATCAGGCAGCGGCCTGCCCTGGGTATAAGGAATTGAGTCTGATTTGGGAACAGAACAGGTGCTAGAGGCAGGGGGGACACCCCTCAAGGTAGTGATGCCCTCCCCTCTGCCCCCATCTTCACTCACTGCTCTCACGACGCAAGGCCAGCTCCACCTCCATGCCCTGAGCTTCCAGCTCCTTGATGGAAGCGTCTATCTCATCCTGTCTCCTTTGGATGGCCTGAGGGGCACAAAAGGGAAGGCTCTAGAGTCTTTAGAGTGCTCAGAAACAGAGCGCGGGGGAGCCTTGATGCCATCAAAACTCCCTGGAATCTCTAGACCTCACCTGGGCCTTGCAGAACCGCTTCATCTCTTCCTGCTTGGCACGGCGCAACAGGGTTCGATGCCATGTTGGGTACTTGCTGCTGTCTGAATTCTTGGTCATGGTCAGCAGAGTCTACATCAGGGTAACAGCGCCAGGCCAGTAAGGTAAGGGTATAGCACCCTGCAGACAAGGCTAGGGAAGCTCCATTCAGGTGGGGTCCAGTCTAGTAGGGGCACAGGCTAGGGGAGGAGACACTCTAAGGGGAGAGAGTCTGGTATAGCTCTCCTGTGACGTTGGCATGGGGGTGTGCACTTATCGGAGGGTGCCCCGGCTGGGGCAGACAAGGTGGCAAAATTCCCGCTCCTCACCTCCATGTCTAAGTTCCAAGCTGCGTCTTCCTCTTCCTCATCACTGGAGGAGGCATTATCTTCTTGTTCTGTCACCATGGCGTCAACTGAACAGGGAAGTGGATATGGTCTGGGATTCCCCCTTACCCAATCCCCAGCGTTCCTCCTTTAGGAAGTTCACAACCAGCAGGTACCACCACCACCTTAGGTCAGCACCTCTGAGCAGAGCGTTACCTTGAGTCTCCTGGGCTGGCCGTCCCCAGCCCTTGAAGCTGCCCTCCAGGGCCTGTTGGGCCAGGACACTGCAGCTGCGAGGAGGCTTGGAGGGGGCCTCCACTTCTGGGTCAAAGGTAAAGTGCAGGGTGGAGAGCTGCTGGCGCTCTGGGATGGACAGGCGAAGTGGCCGGCGAGTGGGCTGGCTGGGGTCTGGGACAGGGCTAGGCCCGAGAGTGGAGGGACTTGGTGGCAGGCTGTTGTCACCTGGCATGGGGAGTTCCTGGGAAAGTCATTAGGTAGTGTGGTCACCTCACCTGTCCACTGGGGAAGCCAAGCCACCTCTTGGATAAACTGTGGACCTGTCCTACCCTCCTTTAAAAAAAAAAAGTTACTCAGCACCCCCTAGAACACTGCCTTCTTTAGGTGGATAAACTGCTCACTGTCAAATGAACCGAGGCTTCTACTGCCCACTCCTCCAGCGTTGGTAACCCCCCCCCCCCCGCACCCCTTCCCCCAAACACACACACTTTGGAAAGATGCATTAACACCATTTCTAGGACAGTTCAAGGCGGTGTTCTAGATGCGGTGCATCATTTAGGAGCACAGGGTAAAGGCTCCCCTCCAAGCTGGTGTTCCAGGGAAGGTTCGGGAATCCCAGCTGGGCTGGAGACCCTTTTCAGCACCCAGGTCTGCATGCACCTCTCACCTGGCTCTCATGGCCTGGATGGCTGCCTTCCTCCTGGAGGCTGGGCGAGGGCAGGTGCTGGAGGCAGTAGAAATGTCCTGGGAAGGGGGGAGAGGGCATTTACGAGATTCCTCTCCCAGAAGGGTGGAGAGTCTGAGCACTGGATTGGCAGCTGAGTTTCCAAAAGCCCCCTCGCTCCTCAGACCCCCACATCTGGGAGAAAGTCCTGGGCTCGGCACAAAGGCCATGCTGAGTCTGCCTCTGCTGCCTGCTTGCCTCCCTTTTCTCTCCAGCATTGAGCTCCCGGCCCTCTAGGGGCTTTCCAAGCCCACTCACCGTCTTCCAGGTGCTGCTGGTAGCCACCTGGCAACAACATGGCCTCGCAGACGTGGCAGCGGAAGCAGCTTCGGTGGAAGAAACGGCCGTCAGCACAGAGGCGTTCCAGGATGTAGAGCTGCTCCCCACAGAGGGCGCACACATCTCCGGCCTCGGCCTGCAATGACCCCCAAGACTATAGGGTCAGTTACAGAGCCCCTCCCCTGCGCAGAACCCCCCGTGCTACCCTGCTCCACAAGGGCCCCTTGGTCCTCACCTCTTGGGGCTGGGCTGGGGGTGTCAGCGGTACGCTGGAATCTGTGACAGGAGGCTCTTCCACACTCGGGCTCTCGACCTTTAAGGAGACATGTGCTCAGGCCAGGAGCTGGGAGCAGGGGGCAGTGGGGAAGAGGACAGTTAGGGCACGCGCGGGGTTGGGGGAGCAGAGAATGAGGGGTCCAGTTCATGGAGGGTGGAGGGGGGGTCACAGAACAGCATGGGGTAAGGAGACAGAACCTGGGCCAGGGCCTGACCAGCCCCTGCTGCTGCGTTTACCTGTAGGCGAGGCTTCTTGCCACCAGCTTCCTCTCCATTTTCCTGCAACAAGCGCTGCCCTGATCATGGGGCTCCCTGTGCCCAGATCGCCCCTTACCTGGCCCCAAGTGCTCTGGGGTGACTGTGGGCTCTGTGCTCGCCGGTGACCCTTGAAGGTACTTGAGGGACCACACACAACACAGTGCTGAGGCCTGAACCCCGGGACTGTCTCTCCAGTCCTTTCTCCGTGGTGAATGTATGCATCCCCAACCCCACCCTCCCCTTCCTTGTGCCCTGGGACCCGGGCTAGGAGGTCACCCACTAACCGCACGTGCCAGCTCCTTACCTGGGCACGGGTCCGCTGCAGTGTCCTCTGCAGTTTGCCCAGGAAGAGCACAGCCCTGGAAGTGCCCTGGGCGGGCTGCCTGGAGGGGCCTGCAGGGAGAGCCAGGTGTGTGTGTGTGTGTGTGTTGTGGGGTGGGGGTCAGCGAAAACCAGCGACCCCGAGCCCCATAACCCAGAAAGCTGCTCCCCAGCTCACCTGGCATGTGGGGGAGACTCTTGTAGGCACTGTGGAAGGAGCTGAGGTAGGCGATAAGGCCCAGTGGGTCGCTCCCTGTCACCACGGCCCGTGCAGACAACACAGGTGCGATGCCTAGCTCATGCTCCGCCATCCTCAGCGCCCACGAGGCAGCTTCCAGTGCCCCCATCCCTTGCAGGTCGGAGGGCTTCCTGGCAAGGGGTGGGCAAGGAGACAAGGCAGTGGGACAAAGGGACCTGACCCCATCCGAAAGGGAGTGAGCTGAGGGGAGTGCAAATGGGGAGGGGAGGGAGGACACAAAAGCTTTCTATTCCCTGCTGTACCCCACCACCACCTTCTGACACCCACAAAGCTTCTCCCCGTGGAAAAAGGCGTTACAGTTTTACTGGCTTCCCAGAGTCGAGCAGGTGCAGTGGGGTGGGGAGGCCAAGGGGGATGCTAACTCCCACAGCCCTCTTTGTTCCTTCTACGGGGCGTGGAGGAGGAGGAGAGGGAGGCCCAGAGGTCTGAAGGGGGCAGCTGGCCCCGCGCCCCACTCACAGCAGGTCGGGCTGCACACGGTGTACCAGGGCGCACAGAGCCCGTCCATTAGCCCAGGAGGAAGACAGGTCTGTGACGTGGACGCCCGGGAAGCCAGCCGTCTGCTCCTGGCACCAGCGCAGCAGCTCCTTCTGGGTATCCGCCGTCCCTGTGAGAGGAGGGGGGCGCTGTGCCCAAGCTCCCACAGAACCCCATTCTGGGTGTGGGCATGGGAATAGGATGTCTGCGAAGCAGAGGCAGAGATGCTCCCTGCCAACAACACCGCACTCCAATTTCCTCTGTGGAATGAAGTGAACTCTCCCCACAGAGGGCAAAGGATTCTGAAGGAGGGGGACAGCACACCCCTTCCCGCGTCAGTTAGGAGTCAACCTCTCCCACCACTATTGAAATGCTGCTCAATACTGCTCCACTCCCCCAAACCCACTCTTCAGTGATGCCCCATGGGCACCTCCCTCGCCCCTCTGCAAGATGCTCCAACCCATCCCACCCCCTGCCCCCAGAGGACCGAGGTGGCCCCTGCTCACTAACCAGAGTGACAATTGCTGGAACGGCCATCCAGGCTCACTCACCAGTCAGCGCGACCGAGTCTGTCCTGTCGCTGTGTCGCCGCACGGGTTCCTTGTCCACCACATCGTACAAGTCCCGTACCTGAGGTGGCAAGGTGCAGTGAGTCTTGGGCACAGGGCCCAGCCTGGGGGATGGGGCAAGTGGGGCAGGGGAGCTGCCTGGGGGAGTCCAGGGCAGGGGGTGGGGTTGGGGGAGCTCCCAGGAAAGCTGACCTGATTCACGGTCACCGCCTGGAGGTTCAGATTGGGGTAGCGAGTGGCTGGGTCTAGCCCATACTGGGCTGTGTTGCGGTGCATGTTTTCCGGGGATGTCTGTGACAGGAGCTGATACAGGCTCTCACTGGAGTTGGGGGGGTCAGGGAACAACCATCAGCAACGACCTCTCGAGAACCGTCAGCTCTCTCTCTCTCTCTCTCTCTTTCTCTGTCCCCTTTTCACCCAAACCCTCCTTCAGATTTGCTCTAGTTCTTCCCCCTGACCCTTCTGGATCCCCCCTCTCCCTCCCCTCCTTCCCCCCAGCCAGTCCTCACCGCTCTGCCAACACTTTTAAGGGCTCAGCACCCTCAGCCCAGCGCTTCACCATCCAGGCGGCATCCAAGGCTGCCAAAAAGCCTCGGGCCACCCCAGTGCCCAGGGGCCAGAAGGGCTGCATGGGTACAAGGACAGGAAGCAGCTCAGCAGGAGTCCACGGAAGGGAATGCCTCCTCCCCCCACCCAGCCCTGGAGTCCTCAAGGGAGAAACCCTCACCACCCAGCCACCTCTCACCTCCCCCTGCAAGCTGTCCTCAGCAAAGCACTCTGCCCCACCTTTCCCCTGAGCCAGGCTGTGTCCAAACATGGACCCTGGGTGCTGCCTTTCAAGGAGGGCCGTCCTGCCTCCCCACGCACCAGAGCCCCCTCACCTCCACCAGGCAGTCCCCCACGAGCCCCAGCAGCAGACGTGCGCCGTGTCTCTCCTGCACCCGAGCTGAGCTCTCGGCCCGCATCATGCTGGTGAAGTCAAAGGCCGAGACATCGGGCCGCCCATGGGCATCCAGTGCGAACTCCAGGTTCCCCAGCTTGCCCTGGGTGGCAAAGTCGGCGGCATCCCGCGTAAAGCGCTGCAGGGCCTCGGGCACCACATTGTCACTGCTCAGCAGCTGCTCAGTCTCGGGCCAGTCCTGGTGGGTCAATTCATCAGAACCACAAAGGTGCCCAGGGCCGTCCTACGCATGGGGTGTAACACGGAACTATGGAGGTGGGTTAATTGGGGAGGGCTCCCTGAGACTGCACAGTAGCAGAAGGCTGAGCTGGAAGGAGGATTTGATGTCCAGCCTTGCTCTCCTCTCAACAGATGCAGGGCTGAGGGGCAGGGGCTGGGCCTGCTTTGATCACACTTGCTTTGAAGTTCTTGAGGAATATTCCCCAGGGGCTGAGCAATAGTACAGCAGATAGGGAGCTTGCCTTGCATACAGCTGACCCCTGAGCACCACCAGCAGTGACCCCTGAGCGCAGAGGCAGGAGTAAGCCCTGAGGACATATGGGAGTGTGGGCCAAATGCCCCCCACCCCACCAAATAAGGGAACAAACGAACAAAACTATAATGTTCCGCCAACAGTCACAAACTGCCTAACTTCACAAGGTACTCAGGAGTGAAAATGCACAGACAGAACAGTACCCAGAGGCAGGTGTCATCCAGCAAAGTCACCTGCAATGCTGGGTGCACTCTACACCCCAGGGACCAGGGCAAACAACTGTGGATCAGAAGCAAGAGATTCAGGTGACAACCCTTCCTTGGGTAACTCACTGTGGGAGGGAGCGCAGAATCCCAGGCAAGGTGTCCCATAAGCCCCGGGGGAAGAGAACGTGCAAGCTGAAGGAAATGCCAGGGCAGAGGCGGAAGGAGCCCTTCTACACTCAGGGACTGTACCCCAGCCTGGCCTCTCCCACCCAGACTCCCCTCCACTGGGCCCAGTCTTCACCTGAAGCAGCACCCCGCGCTGCAACAGGCACTGCTTCTTGGCGGTCATCACAAAGTAGTGGGTGTCATCTTTGTAGTACACGATGTTCTCCAGATCGATGCCTGCGGGGACAGGCAGGGCTTAGAAGACGGCTCTTCGATGGGGCACAGGGGCTACTCCCAGTTCTACTCCCAGTTCTGTGTTATGATGGCTTACAGAGGACCAGGTGGTGCTGGGGATGGAACCAGGGTCTCCCACAGACAAAGCAAGTGCTCAACCCTTGGGCTCTCCCTCCAAACACTCAGACATGCCTGACATCTGAGCACTGGAATCCCAGCTCAGCCTACAGTGGGAAGTTTCCCCACATGGGCCCAGGAGTTCTGGGGACAAAATGGATCAAATGTCTCAGGCTCAGGAGGCCTAAAATCTTGGAGCAGAGAGAACACCAGTGGGATGGGCACAGGGAGATAAGTCTACTTCATGGTCACATGTTTGTGGTAACAGCTGGTATCCCAAACGGGTATGTACCACCCCGAGGGGTGTGGCAGTGCAGCGCCAAAGTCAATACAGGACATTTTATTTTTTTCTTTTTGTTTTGGGGCCACACCCAGCAGGACTCAAGGCTACTCCCAGCTCTGTACTCTGGAAACTGAGCCGTGCCAGGTATGGAAGCTAAGTGTTCTGTGGGTACTGTTGGTAATCAGTCCCTTGGGCTATCTTCCTGGTCCAACATAGGGCATTTTCTTGAAGCCCCACTTTTTCTTTGAACTGATGTTAATTTTGTTTGTTTTGGCCTACACGTGGTAGTGCTAGCTTTATGCACCGCACTCAAGGATTCACTTCTGGTGGGGCTCACGGAAACATAGGCAGTGCTAAGGGATTGAACTTGGGTTGGGTGTATGCTTTGCTTTGCAAAGCAAAGCATACACCCAACCTGATGTACAACTGCTCTGACCCTTGATCTCATTTTTATGTCAAAGCATGTATAAAGCATCAGAAAGCAAAATTCTATGCATTTTGTGACAGACTTATGGGCTTATCAATTATGGTATGGTGGGATAGCCCAAGCCTGCCAAGTCCCCAGGGACGGGTTATTTATCCCTTGCTGCCCAGAACACAAGGACGAAAAAGTGTGGGTTCCCTTGACCTGAAGACAAGTCTGGAGGGGTGAGGGGGGCGCGGGCAGACAGGGGTGAGGATGCTGACCTGTGGTTTTGAACAGGCTCTGGAAAAAGTTCTGGTTGTAGATCCTGGCCACACCACTGATCTCCTGCACCTGTGTCTCTTCCACCGTGCGTCTGTTCACAAAGTTGGCTGTGATGCCAATGGCCAGCTTGCCACGCATTTCTCGCACTGTGAAACCTGGGAGGAGGCACAGGAGGACAGGGGGCATAACTGCCCAGAAAGGCCCTGGAGAAGCCCAAGATGCTGGCTTCTGCGAGGGAGGAGATCACTCACCTTCAGGGACGAATTTACCTCCTGCAGCTGAGATGAGGACATCAAATTCGTAGTTGGCCAGCTGGGCTGGGGGGTTGGGCTGGAGCTGGGCTCGCCAGCCACTCCCTGCGGCAGGAGGGAGAGGCACAAGAGTGTGGCTGTCTGGAGGCTCCCCCAACTCTCCGATACGCCGGTGAAAGAGTTAAAGAATTAAGAGGGGGTCTGTGGTTTATCACACTGATGCTGGTGCTCAAATTTGTTCATTAAACCACCTTCAAGTGTGAGTCACCAATGGTAGCATCATGGTGTTCAGAGGCAATAATGTACTGTCTATCAGATGACACTAGACCACAGGCACAGATAGTCAGGAAGGACAGAAAAAGTTCCCCTACTTGCAGACACTCAAACTTCCAGGAAGTTAGCACAAAGCCACCCTCGTGGACAGAGAGAAGCAAGCAACTCGCAACCGCATCCCCCGTGGCTTACCAGGCCAAAATCTCACTGGCAATCGGGGGAGTTAATCAGGAACAGAGAAGTACTTACCCTTTTGGGGTGGGGGCTGGAGGCTGGTGAAGGTGACACCCCAGTGAAAGTCCACCCCCAGCAGTAAAGCCACTTTCAATAAAAGCAACTGAAGCTGCCGGATGCCTGGAAGGGAAAGGCTATTGGGCGCCCGAACCCCAGGGCCACATAGCCTCTGGGGCACAAGCACGCCCCGATCAGGCCTTGCTGGTCTCTCAATCCCACTTTGGAGCTGTGGGATTTGAGTTCTGAAGGTCACGGGGCTGAAGTGACTCAAGTGACCCCTTGACTGGTTTGCCCAGCCACCCCTCCCTTGCCCCCCATAGCCCCTGCCTGTCTTATGGCCCTAGCTCCCCTCACCCCTTCCTGAGTGCCCACATGACACTCACTGATGTGGTCTAGGGTGCCGGTGCAGAAGCGCCCGTAGAACTTCTTGGCGCCGAGTCCCCGGAGGTCATGAATGGTGAAGGGCCAGAGGTGTAGCACATTGTGGCGAGAAAACTTGCGACGCTTCTCCACCACCACTACACGGGCCCCGAGCAGTGCCAGTTCCACAGCTGCCCGCAGTCCGCAGGGCCCAGCGCCCACCACAAGGCACTGTGAACAGAACCGATGACGTGCTGGTATCTGCTCAGCACCCACCTCCCACTGCCCACGCCCGGCTGCTCTCCAAGCCTCTGTCCCGAGTCCCCAGACCCACCTTGGTGTGGACACAGGACTGGCCCTGCTGGTACACAGGCTGACCAGCTCGCTTGTCCAGCTTGGCCCAAAGCGACTTGGCATTCCAGTAGTTGAGCTGGGCCTTGATCTTGTGGTACAGGGGCAGCCCCCGTCCAGGCTCCAGCTCCAGAGTCCTGCAGAGCTCTTGGAAGCTGCTCAGCACATCCTGGCACTGCTGGGCCTGCAGGAAGCTCTCAAAGTGGGCGTGCGCGGGGTTGGTGGAGGCAGAGGAGGCCATGGTGCCCTGAAACTTTCCAGGGCTGGCTGGGAACAGTTAAGTAGAGGCGCTGGTTGCTGCAAGGGAGGAAAGAGAAGGGGAGGGGACTGGAACACACACACACACACACACACACACACACACACACACACACACACAAAATAGGAGGAGAAAGGAAGGGGAGGAGAAGAAAACAGGCTGGTGGCCAGGGAGCATGGGTTCAACCCCATTGGCTCCAGGCTCTGCCTCCCAGCCCACCGGCAATCTGCTTCAAAAACAGCTGCTGATCTCAGCTATTCTTGGGTATTACTCCATAACTTAGAGGCCAGCCGGGTATCCTAGAGGAAAGGGCTATTCAGATAGAGAAGGGAGCACCAAATAAAGGATGTTTGGAGGATCCTCCCAGGAGGGGAGATGCATGTTGAAAGTAGACTATGGACTGAACATGTTTGCCACTCAATGCCTCTTTTGCAGACCACAACACCCAAAAGGAGAGAGAGAACACAGGGGATTGCCCTGCCACAGAGACGGGGGGATGGGGGGATGGGGGTGGGAGGGATATTATCCATGGTGGTGGAAAATGGGCACTGGTGGAGGGATGGGTATCTGATCATTGTATAATTGAAACCAAAGCACAAAAAATTGTAAATCTACAACTTTAAAAAAAATAAAATAAAATAAAGGGGGAAAAAAAAAAAAAAAAAAAAAAAAAAAAAAACAGCTGCTGTCGCTTCCACCCTAGAAAGCCTTGCCAAATTTGGAAACAAAAAAATCACTTGGACTGGGCACAGAGGCCTTGAGCTATCTCCAGATTTTTATTTATTTATTTATTTGGAGAGGGGTTCACACCCAGCAGGGCTCAGGGGTTACTCCTGGCTCTGCACTCACGAATCACTCCTGGTCGGCTCAGGGGCCCCATAAGGGATGCTGGGGATTAAACCCAGATAGGCTGAGTGCAAGGCAGCACATTATCCACTGTAGTCTCTCTCTCTGGCCCAACTATCCCCAGATCTTTTATTTTTTTTCATTTTATTTATTTTTTTTCCAAGTCTCACATTTTTTTAAAAAAATTTTTTATTAGTGAATCACCGTGAGGTACAGTTACAGTCTTACAAACTTTCACGCTTAAGTTTCAGTCATATAATTATCAAGTACCCATCCCTCCACCAGTGCCCATTTTCCACCACCAATGATCCCAGGAGCCCTCCCACCACCCCCCTCCCGCTCCGCTCCCCCCCCCCCCCCTATCTTTTAGATGTGCTCCAGGGCAAGAATGATCTGCCTGCCTTTCCTGGCTTATCTGCCAGCCTTTGTTGTGCTGTGAAACTCTCAGAAGTGCGAGGGTGAGGGAGAATCTTTTGCTGACCTGAAGACAGGGATGACCTAAGATCTGCAAGCCCAGCTGCGGGGCACAGGAATCGCCTCTGATGGCCTCTGCCATGCTGGGTGTGGGGTGTGTCTGATGATAGGGGCAAAGTTTCCTGCCTGGCACTGGTGCCAGTCAAAACGAGGCGGACCAACGGTAGGTAGGTAGGCTCTACTTCCTACTACTCAAACTATCTCAACTAACAGCCCAGGGGAGGATATTGCGCCTGGCTGCCTTTGTCGGTGATGGAGGGCTGAGTGTATTTCTGACTCACTGTGGTCAAAACACTTCCCCTGTGACTTGCCCTGCCGCAGGGGCCCCTGAAAGACTGGTGGGGGCTTGGAGACACCAGTGGTAAGGGTCACCCCTCCCAACCTCCCTCCGCCTTCTCTATTTCGGCCCCATCCCTCTGTAGCTCTCCCAGGAATCTCCTGGGACAAGGCTTCCCTTGTCCTCTTCTCCCCCACTGGGCTCCCACACAACCCGTTGGCAGATGGGGTTGGGGAGGGGTAGACTTCTCAGGCTAGGGCTGGAGGGTTCGAGGACAGGGTTGCCCACAGGGAGGAGTTAGGGAAGGCAGGTTTCCCTCCGCCCCCCCCCTTAATGCCCCCCTGCCACCCCATCAGCCCTGGACTTGCTCCCACTGCTCCCAGCGGAATGAGGTAACCAAGGTCGTCAGCTGAGGGTCACCCGGACGTGGGCACATGGGACGGCAGAAAAGGCAAAGGTTTCTCTCGGGTGTGTGTGTGTGTGTGTGTGTGTGGCAGGAAAGGCAAAGGTTTCTCTTGGGTGTGTGTGTGTGTGGGGGGGGGGGGGGTGGAATGGAAGAAGGAACCCCTCTGTCTCCGGTGGGTGGGTTGCAGGGTCGGGGGAGGGGGTGAGGGGGTGGAACGAAAGAAGGAAGCCCTGTCCCTCCGGTGGTTGGGTGGCAGAGGCGCTGTCAGGGGCGACCCAGCGTGCAAACCCGAGGACAAAGGCTATGAACCAGCGGCAGGGGTGGATGCAGCGAGGACGCTGGACCAACGGAGACCCGGAGCGGGCGCGGCGCTCACACATTCGGGACGGGGAGTGCCGGGAGGCGCAGAGCGGGGGCCGCGGGGACCCGTGGGGTTCCCGGGAGAAGCGCCCTCCGTCCACCCCACCCCCGGCCCCCGGCGTGCGCGGAGCTGGATCACTTACCCCGCAGCTCGGATCCGGGAGGGGCCGCTTCCTTCCGGGCGGGCGGGGGTGCGGGGCAGCGCGCAGGCGGTGCCCACCCGGGACGCCGGCGGGGTGTGGGCCGGGGCGCGGGCGGCGCGGGCGTTCGGCGCTTTATTAGTGCCTAATTAGCATTTCATTACCACGCTCTTCGGGCTCGGGGCAGCCGGGGGCCCGCCTACCTCGGCGGCAGTGGGGGATGCCGGAGGGCGTGGCGCCCCGAGGTTCAGAGGCGTCACGGGAATCCCCGGGGAGCCCCGGGAAAGAGCCCGGGCGATCCAGGAGCGGCCACGCGCTGCATCCCGGGGCTCGCGCTGGCCAACGCACGCCCTTCCGGGCCACCCCGAAACCCGCCCTGCACCGTGCCAGCACCGCCACGGACCGCTCGGGCGCTAGAGAAGTTTGGGGGGGAACTTGCGGGTGGCTCAGTGGCGCCCCGGACGGACGTCTGAATCGCCGCGCCAAAAGGGAGAGCCACCACCCGGCGCCCTCCCAAGGATCCAAGTTCTAGTCTCGCCGCCCTAGATGGAGATTAAAGGCAAAGGGCTGCAATAAAGTCTTGAGAACTCGGTGAGCTGCCGGGGAGTCGGGGTACGTGCGTGCGCGAGCGCGCGCGCGTGCATGTGTGTCTGTGCTCGTGACTCTGTGTCTGTGTGTGTGTGTGTACGGTGTGTATGAGTGTATTTAGGGGTGGTGTGTGTGTGTGTGTGTGGTAGTACTTTTACACCACGACTGAGAAACGGGCAAAATGGGAGAGGTTCTAGATCCACAAGATGTAGGAGTTCCTTGGAGGGAGAATGCTTGGAACCTTTCAACTGAAAAGGACTTTGAGAAACTTTTGTTATCAACTTCCGCGTTCCTAATAAGGAAAGCACAGAAAGCTCTGGACCAAGACCCTTCAGCTAGTTAACAAGAACAGAACACCTATTTTCATTTCTTGTCTGCTTGGAGCATGGCCTTTATCTCCCGACACAATAGCCCCATTTTACTGAAAAGGCAACTGAGACTCTGTAACAACCTCCAATAATTTTCACCATGGAAGGGATAGAGCTGGCCAGGGCCCCAGATCTATCTGGACTCCCCCCTCTGCGCCAGTGTGGCTCCAAAAGTGACTTGGCAGGGCTGGATTATAAAAAATCTATTTCTAGATTTGAAGAGGTGCTACTGTTAGGCAGGAAACATTAATAAAAACAGTGGCTGGAGAGGAGGGTGGGTCCCCTTGATAGACAGGGACCAGGACAAGCCATGGTTCTCCCCTCTGCTTCCTTCGCACTTTGCATTCCTCTGGAAATCCTTTGAGACTCAGTAAGACCAGGTCAGGCCTGCTCTGCCAGGAAGGAGGGCCAGGAATTGAGCCAGGTCAACCTTGGGAAACCAGGGCGGCCTCCAGCCAGACCCATCCAAGCTCTGAAGTGTGACTTATCAGGAGACTTGAAATGAGTTTGTCCAATAGCTGACACACCCCTATTTAAATACCTGGTATAAAAATGTTCTAAAGTCCACTATAAATGTGTTAGCAGGCTTTAGGATCACCCATTTCCCTTTCATCAGCAGATGGTAAACAGTGACTGCTCTGACTGAGCTCTGGTCCTTGGTGCAATGACTTGTGGTCTCAACCCATCAGGGTTTACGTGGCTCTCTGAATACAGATGGTAAAATTAGCCTTTAAAAAAAGGTCACAGAACAATGATGACTTCATTGCTAAAAAAAGTCAGCAACAAAAAAACTTTGCTGACTTGGAGTTTTACTTTGTATTAATAATACACTTTGAGGGATGGAGCGATAGTATAGTGGGTCCAGAAACAACAAGAAGAACCACAATGACAAAAAAGATCAACTTTGCAAGTGGTCTGTAATCCAGAAAATCTGGTTGGGTTCCAAATTTACATTCCATTAGCCTTGGAAAAGTCACCAACCCCCGGGCTTCAGTTTTCTGATCTCTAGATCTTAGCAGATTATTTAACCTTTCAGCCCATTTAAATTCTCAAATCAGGGGCCAGAGAGGTTAGATAGTATACAGGGATTAAAGCTCTTACCTTGCATGTAGCTGGCCCTGATATAATACCAGGCACTACATTTGGTCTCCCAGACACCACTGGGAATGACCCCTGAACACAGAGCTAGGAGTAAGCCTTGAGCACTGCCAGATAAATCCCCCATAATTCAAAAACAATAAAAGTTAAAATCCTATTATTCATTCTTAGGGGTCCTAATAAATATATAGATACAATGAACAGAATACTCAAATCAGATTCTATTTTGGGATTTTGTTTTGTTTTTGCACCACATGAGGCAATGCTCAGAGATTATTTCTGGCTCTGAACTCAGGAATTAGGCTTTAGTTCCTGTTTTCTGCAAGGTAGGTTTTTGAAAATTCAAGGCTATTAGTTCCCAGGAAATTTATGGCCATTGCCTTGGGGGGTGGGGGGAGCTTCCTTTTTTTTTTTTTTTTAATTTTATTGAATCACCTTGAGATAGTTACAAGCTTCCATGTTTGGGTTACAATCACACAATGATCCAACACTCATCCCTCCACCAGTGCACATTCCCCACCATCAATATTCCTGGTATACCCCCCCCTTCCCCACCCTCCCTCTGCCTCCATGGCAGACATTATTCCCCATAATCTCTCTTTTGGGCATTATGGTTTGCAGTATAGACACTGAGAGGTTATCATGTTTGGTCTTTTATCTACTTTCTGCACACATCTCCCATCCAACCAATTCCTTCAGCCATCATTTTCTTAGTGATCCCTTCTCTGTTCCAGCTGCCTTCTTGAGGGGGGCCTTCCTTATCTGCCTGCCTGCCTGCCTACATCAGGAGGATCATATGGTATGACAGGGATTAAAGTTGGGTCAGCCACATTAAAGTAAAGTAATACTAACTGTTGTAGTATTACTCTGGCCCCTCAAATCAAATTCTATTGATAGTTTCTTCAAAGGAAAAGGTGTCCTGTACCAAAACTTAAAGAATAAACTTATTATATACCTGCAAGATTTTCTCTTTAATTAGAGTCTTAAATTTGATTCATTATATGTATATTTAGAACTAAAAATACTGGCACTAGCTCATTGGCCATTTGGATCAAGTGAGTGGCTGGTATATGCAAAGTCAGTTTTTTTAAAAAAATTTTTATTAGTGAGACACCATGAGGTACAGTTGTAGATTTACAAATTTTGTGCTTGGGTTTCAATTATACAATGATCAAATACCCATCCCTCCACCAGTGCCCATTTCCCACCACGACGGATCCCAGTATCCCTCCCAACCCCCATCCCCCCATCCCACCCTGCCTCTGTGACAGGGAATTCCCCTCTGTTCTCTCTCTCCTTTTGGGTGTTGTGGTTTATGCAAAGTCAGTTTTCAGAGAATCCTATTCTGATGTCTTGCAAGTAATCATGCTTGCAGTGTTCTGGGTTAAAAACATGAGCCATTAAGAAAGTTAGCCTGCCCTCTGCGCCATCTGGTTGTTGAACTCTGGCAAAGCCATCCACCTCATCTCCTAACTGCTCATCTCCTGAGCCTAGAGCCAGATGCTCGGTCCTTAACACTGAATGTGACGGTGTGAAAAGGCGCGCTACACCTGCAGGTCAGTGTGTCATGGTCCCAGGCAGGCAGGGGTGGCCGCAGTGTGATCAGATACAGCTCTTGAGGTCAAGATCATTACTAATACTAACAGAGATACCAGACTAGCATGCTGGGACTGGGTAAGACAGGTGTCTTGATAGATCTAAGACAGGGTCTCCCTGATGAAGTGACTTTTACCCTAAAATTTGACAGACAAAACCTTTCATTAGTCAGCCAGTCAGTAAGGGCAGAAACATTTTAAGTCCAAGAAATTGCAGGCTGCTCAAGGCCTTACAGCAGGAAATCAGTAGGCGTACTTGGTGCAGGAGGAGGAAGTCAGCATGGCTATACATGAGAAAAAGGAAGAGGAAGGTGATTTTAATTTCATCCTGAGTGCAATGAAATCTGTAGAAAGACTTTAAGCAGACCAGACATGATCATTGCCTTAATAAGACACTTCAGTCATTTAGCTTGTTGCTGCTTAAAGGCTACTTGATTAGTGGGTTTCAACTTTTATTACTAATATCATTTATCAACCAAGGCAGTTGAAAAATCACTTAGTAGATTACTTCCAATGGAGAGTGGAGTTGGGAGAGATAGAAAAACTTACAACAAAGTGGTGGGTTGGCAGGGGGCAGGGGGATGAGGACCTGGAGATGGTATGGCAGTTAGGGTACATGCCTAATATGTGCCTGGCCCTGGTTTGATGCTGTGTGTTGCACTGTTAACTGTGGCCTTGAGTATCTTTGGCCTCCAGGGCCCAACTCAGGCTGGGTTGACTGAGAAAGGCCAATGGAGGGAGCGTGGGGTCCTCAGATCGTATGAGCACAGCTTGAGAGCCCCTGATTCCACTAAAAATATCAGAGGCCAGTGAGATATCTCAACAAACTAGAGCAGATAACCATGTGATGTAAGGACCTGGGTTTGAGTCCCTGCATCACATGGTTCACTGAGCACCATTAGGAGTGATGCCTCCAAGCAATAAGCCATGAGTAGACTCAGACTATTGCCAAGTATGGTCCAAAAACAACACGCAAAAAACAGTCAGCCAAGACTTGAAGAAGTCCAGACAATGCCCTAGAAGTAGGAATATGAGGATTATATGGATTCAAACACTAGTCTGAGGTGAGATTGGACATGTGTTGAGGAAGACTATGAGAAACACACACAGAGAGAGAGAGAGAGAGAGAGAGAGAGAGAGAGAGAGAGAGAGAGAGAGAGATTGAGTTCGTGGAGCTGAGTGCCTTATTTGCATAAAAGACAGGAGGAAGCTGGGTTTGATCCTTGGTATTTTATGGTTCCCTGAGCACCATCAGGAGTGACTCCTGAGCACCGAGCCAGGAGTAGCCAGTTGTGACCTGAGAATTAAAAAATAAGAAAAAAAAAAAGATAGACTCCTAGTTCTCCTGAAGCTTAATACTTTTATTCCTTTATTGCTTTCCTCAGAAGTAGAAGTCAAATATTATGATTTCAAGATAACACAGGGGACTTCAGATCAAGACTTCAAAGGTTAAAAATACTAATTGGGGACTGGAGA